CTCGGCGTCACCACCACATTCCCCGGGCACGAGCGGTTCGCTGTCTGTTCTGAGGCTGTCTCAGGTTCCCCCCTTGCGACGTTCCCCCGGGACCCGGTGTCCGGTCTGTTTACCCTACACACCGCTTCCCCCCCGGTTGGTGCGTCCTCCCAGGTCGCTGCAGCTTGCTCGTGTCGGTCCCTCACTCACCCCTCCCTTCTCTGGCACCACCGCTTAGGTCACCCTGCTCTCCCGCGTCTGCGTCACATGTCCCAGCACGGTCTTGTCTTAGGTCTCCCCGCGTCGCTCCCTGCCCTTCCTCCCTCGACTGCGCCACCGTGCACGCCTTGCGTCGAGGGTCGGCTCCGCCGTGCTCCTCACTCCTCCTCGCTGCGTCCTGCTAGTGCCCCCCTTCAGACCCTGCACTTGGACGTTTGGGGCCCTGCCCCCGTCCCCGGACCGCGCGGTGAGCGCTACTTCCTTGTGCTTGTCGACGACTACACGCGCTACACCACGGTGTTTCCCCTGGAGCGGAAGGCCGACGTGCCCGACGTTCTTCTCCCGTGGGTTGTGGCTGCGCGTCTCCACCGCGGTCTCCCCGTGTTGTGTCTCCACTCCGACCGTGGCGGCGACTTCGCCTCTGGTCGGCTTGGACAGTTCTGTCGTGCGGAGGGCATCACCCAGTCGTACACGTTGCCGGACTCGCCACAGCAGAATGGGGTTGCTGAGCGCCGCATCGGCTTGGTCATGGAGGTCGCCCGTACCTCCATGATCCATGCCGATGCCCCCCATTTTCTGTGGCCGTTCGCTGTTCGCTACGCGGCTCACCAGCTTAACCTGTGGCCACGCTCCCAGCGGCCGCAGGTTTCGCCGACCCTCCTTTGGACCGGGTCCCCCGGTGACGCGTCTGCGTTCCACGTCTGGGGCTGCCTTGCTCACGTTCGTGCCTCTGGCACGGACAAGCTCACTGCCCGCACTGTCCCCTGTGTCTTCCTCGGTTTCCCCTTGGACTCGTCTGACTGGCTTTTCTACCACCCGCCGTCTCACCGCTTCCTCCACTCTCGTGACGTCACCTTTGATGAGTCCGTCTCCTTCTACCGCCGCTTCCCTCACCGAGGTCTCCCAGTTGCCCCCCCCCTTTTCCTTGCTCCCTCTCCCCCGGTAGCCCCTGCCCCTCTCCCGCCTCGTCCTGCCCCGTCTGGTGTCTCCCACGTCACTCCCCTCCCGTCGGTTGTCCCCGTTGAGGAGTCTGCTGACTCTGGTGGTACCCCCGGTCCGTCCTTGCCGCGTCCCCCTTCCCCGGTGCCTCCGCCCCCACTGTCGCAGTCGCCGACCCCGCTGCCGCCGCCGTCGCCGTCGCCGCCGCAGCCGTCGCCGCTTTCGTCGCCGCCGCCGCCGCTGTCGCTGCCGCAGCCGTCGCCGCTGTCGCCGCCGCCGCAGCCGTTGCCGCCACTGCCGCCGCTGCTCTCGGCCCCTGGGGGTGCTGGTGTGGAGGAGGGTGTTCGTCCTGCGGCTTCTGGGGGTGCCGCTGGTGTTGGAGGGGGTTCTCGCTCTGGGGGTGCTGCTGTTGAGTGTTCTGCCGACGGTCGTTCTGCCTCTGCTGGTCCGAGAGTTCCGGCCCAGCCGTCGTCGCCGCCGCAGCAGCCGTCGCCGCCGGTTTCCGCTCTCCGCCTGCTCGGCCTTCCCTCCCCGGACCGCGCGCCGGTGTCTCCCCCACCGCCTCCTGACCTCCCTGTCTACGGTCCTGTGTTCCCGCCGCCAGACTCATCTCCGGCCCGTCTTCCTCCTCGTTCCCCTCCTGTGTCTCCTCCGCTGTCCCCTGACCCTACCCCTCCGTCTCACGTTTGGGCTCGCCGTCCCTCCCGTGCTCGTCCCGTCTCTCCTGTCCTGCCCACCCACCCTATGTTGCTCCGTTCCCACTCGTCTCGTCCTCCCCTCCTCCCGTCCCCTCCTCCCTCGTCCCTTGCTGTTGCACCTCCTCCGTTCTCTGACTACCTCCGTGCTGCTCGTCCCCTTGTCCCTCGGGTCCTTGCCTCTCTTGTTACCGACCCTGCTGTTTCTGTCTCGCGCCTTGACGCGCTTGTCGCTGCTGTCGCTGACTTCGCTTCTACCCGCCGCCTTGACTACGCTACCGCTCTGGTCTCTGACCCTGCCCGTCCTCTGTCCGTCGGGGGTGCTCCTGCCCTTGGCAGTGACGTCCTAGAGGACAGGCAGTACGAGCTGGCTTTCCTTTCCGAGGCTGCTCCCCATCTCTGCTCCATGCTGTTAGTCCCTGAGGGTGACCCAGACGCCTTCGACATCCCGACCCCTCGCACCTACGCTGAGGCCACCTCGGGACCTTGGGCCTCTCAGTGGATAGCTGCCATGGAGCAGGAGATGGCATCTTGGAGATCCACCGGCACTTACGTCGACGCAGTTCCCCCGCCTGGGGTGAACGTAGTCGATGGTCGGTGGCTCTTCAAGGTGAAGCGCCCCCCTGGAGAGCCGCCTGTCTTCAAGGCGCGCTACGTGGCCAGAGGTTTCAGTCAGCGCGAGGGGGTTGACTTCTTCCAGACCTTCGCCCCGACCCCGAAGATGACCACTCTTCGGGCGCTGCTACACGTAGCAGCACAGCGTGACTACGAGCTTCACTCCCTCGACTTCTCTACTGCCTTTCTTCAGGGCAGCCTACATGAGCAGGTCTACCTGCGCCGACCACAGGGCTTCACTGGTACCTTCCCTCCTGGGACCCAGTGGCTTCTCAGGCGCCCGGTCTACGGCCTGCGTCAGGCTCCCCGCGAGTGGCACGACACGCTACGTGCCACGTTAGCAGACCTGCAGTTCTTTCCGTCCTCTGCTGACCCTTCACTGTTTGTGCGTTCCGGCCAGACTCCGTTCTACATCCTTGTCTACGTAGACGACCTGGTCTTCGCTACTCCTGACAGGGACGCACTGGCCTCTGTGAAGGCTGAGCTGCTGAAGAGACACACCTGCACTGACCTTGGAGAGCTGCGTCGCTATCTTGGCCTGCAGATCTCTAGGGACAGAGCAGCACGCACCATCACTCTGACCCAGTCACACTTGGTGCGTAAGGTCCTTCAGAGGTTCGGTCTTCAGTTCTCCTCCGCACAGCCCACACCTCTACCCGTAGACCATGGGCTGTCTGCTCCCGTTCCTGAGGAGCCAGTAGAGCCCAGTGGCCCCTACGCAGAGCTGGTGGGTTGCCTCATGTACCTGATGACTTGCACTCGCCCAGATCTCGCATACCCTCTCAGCATCCTGGCTCGCTTTGTGGCTACAGGCAGACACCGACCTCAGCACTGGTCTGCCGCTAAGAGGGTTTTGCGTTATCTTGCTAGTACATCAGGCATGGGGTTAGTGCTAGGAGGACGCAGGCCAGTGGTCCTTACTGGGCACACAGACGCTTCTTGGGCAGACGACGCTGAGACGCTCAGGTCGTCGCAGGGCTACTGTTTCAGCCTTGGTTCGGGTGCTATCTCTTGGAGATCCACTCGCTCGTCGTCTGTGGCTCAGTCTAGCTGTGAGGCTGAGATCTACGCTGGTGCCATGGCGGCACAGGAGCTCCGCTGGCTGACCTTCTTGCTCACAGACTTAGGTGAGCGGCCTAGCTCTGCCCCGGTCCTGTACGCTGACAACAGGGCCATGATACTCCTGTGTCAGGAGCCTCGGCTTGAGGGCAGAGCGAAGCATATCCAGCTGCGGTACTTCCTCCTGCGCGAGCTACAGCAGCGCCGCCAGGCCCGCGTAGTTCACTTGGCCTCAGGTGCCAACACAGCTGATATCTTTACTAAGGCGCTTGCGCCTAAAGATCATCAGCGGCACTGTGTACAGCTTGGTCTTGTTCCTATAGCTGCTCCCCTGTTAGGATCCTGATTGTGTACTCTCTATTATATATGCTTGTCAGACTGGCCTTGTGGCCTTACCTCCAGTGGCTGGACTAGTAGTGCCACCCTGGCTTGCTTCAGTTTTGGTTGTATTCTTGCTGACTGGTCTCCAGACCCCTGCCTCAGTGGTTGGACTAGTAGTGCCGCCCTGAGCTGTTTGCTTCTTGTTTAGTTTCACCCCTTGTCTAGCCTAGGGGGTGTGTCAACTTATACATATTATCTATGTAGAAGTTATAGGCTAGACTGAGGTATGCTTCTAGTGAGTACAACCAACTAGTATTTGTTCTAGGTTTCCACCTCTAGTAATCATTCGTTTCTACGTTAACAGTAAGGGCTGGCAGGACGGGCGCGAGGGCCGGCTAGGCAAGGCGCGAGGGCCAGCTAGGACAGGCACGAGGGCCAGCTAGGACGGGCGCGGTAGACGACTAGGCTAGGCGCGAGGGCCGGTTCGGACGGGCGTGAGGGCCGGTTAGGACGGGCGTGAGGGCCGGGTAGGACGGGTGCGACGGCTTAGGGGGCCAGCTAGGACGGGCGCGCCGGCTCAGGGGGCCGGCTAGGAACAGGCGCGACGGCTTAGGGGGCCGGCTAGGACGGGCACGACGGCTCAAGGGGCCGGCTAGGAACGGGCGCGACGGCTCAGGGGGCCAGCTAGGACGGGCGCGACGGCTCAGGGGGCCGGCTAGGACGGGCGCGACAGCTCAGGGGGCCGGCTAGGAACGGGCGTGACGGCTCAGGGGGCCGGCTAGGACGGGTGTGAGGGGACGGCAGAAACGAGCGCGCGACTAGCTAGGGGTGGCGTGACGAGGGCCTTGGGCGGAAGCGTGAGCGGCGGGACCTACCTACCAAGCGTGATACCATCTTAACGTAGAAAACGAATGTCGAGAGAAAACAGTACAAGGGTATAAGCCTAAGTGTTGTACCCTCTAAGATACGAACCTATACAGTCTATACAAACATGAAATATATATGTTTTGACACCATGACCCCTGCTGTTTTGATGATGCCTTAGTTGTTTTGTTTTCCTCGTTACTCAATCCTTCGACACACGCTCTTTGAGCTTCATAACGTTGACATTACTGTGCATGTTTAGATCGTGCTGCTTCGCTGATCACGAAATTCAGGTTTTCGCAACAGTACATTGTGACGAGTATCTTGGCGTAGGGTCTAGCCTAGGGCTCCATGTCACGCATTGAGCTTGCAGAACGAGCGAGTGTCACATTATTCAATGTCGAGATCCCATTTCTTGTTTCATTTTGTAGGGGCCGCGCGAACGCGAGCCCCCGCTGCCACAAATATTGACGTGCATCACCGGGAGTTCCGGCGTGCTAGAAGCAGGGCCGGCCGAAGTGCAATGGCGGGCCCGCCTCTAGGCCATCGGCCGTCGTGATCACCGATTGACCCCGCCCAGGTAAGTATGCCAGCCATAGTTCGAGAATTTCTCTAAATTGCAAAGACGTGAACGCGTATATTAGTATGTCGTGGGTTGAGATTGCCACGTTTCTTTCCGAGATTGTTGGGTTCGCCTGCGACTGTGGAGGGCGTTCAAGCTGGGGGTTCGACTCCTCCCCAGCACAAAAATATCACCATCCGAGCCCTGGGCAAGCTCTCCCTGCAAATGTTGCAGGCGATTTCCTCCCATTATCCCATGCACTGCCGAGAGACTCTCTTCTGCGCCATGGTGTGCTTTTCGTTAGTTCAGTCGCACACGTGTCCACGTCGGCATCGAAAGTAACCTATTCTGCCTTAACATGCGTGTCGCAATAGAGCTGCCAAGTCTGTCGGGGCCATCCTCGTCTCCTAAGAATCTCAGCTCCGTCGTTTCATCCCAAGCCCTCGTCGCAGACAAACCCCCCGAAGCCCAGCAATCCCCGCATCTCCAGCATGTGTCAACGTACCCTACACCTGTCAACAGCGGATCGCGCTTTCTCGTCGCGACAGAATCTGAAGCGAAACCTAGATTCAACTCTTAGCGAAAGCCGTTGGCCCGCATCTCCGAGTCTGATTCTCGCCGCCAACGTTACCTAGGTCGACATTTCCAACGAAAGCTAAACCTAAAAATCGACTTTGCGCTCCTTTGCACGCGATGGTCGGTTACCACATGCACCACGACGCGTGGTCGGAACTTGTCAGCGAAGCTAATGCCATTTGGCATAGCACGACCAACAACGCCATCCCGTTCCTCGCGAGCCGAGAGGGCACCCATAAGGTCCGTGCGCCCCTTGCCCTCCGCTAATGCAGGTCCCTGCTATGCAGCCCAGAGTCTCTCTTGTGCTCGCCGAAACCCGTCTCTGCCTTAGTCTATTCCCTTGTCTCCCCTTGTCTCCCCTTGCCTGCCCTCGTCACAAGCTCACAGGAAAAAGCAATCCAAAACCTCAACAGCAATATTCACTTCAACCGAGAACGCGCATTGCAGCAGAACGGGCAGCGGCAGATATGGCATGGAAGGTACCAGTACAGAGTGCTGGCCGGATTCACGAGTCTTGTCCAACATGCATGTCATCGAATTCAACAACCCACCACCAAGCCGCACACAACCCCTTATGAACTTCCACCATTGTCACCACCCTCCCCACCAGCACCCGCCCACCGCCCGTCTCCACAGCAGCCTGAGCGAGTGTTGCCCACCACCACGAGGATCGTGCCCATGTCCGCCAGCGCGGCCGGCCACAGCCAGCCCCAGCACAGCGCCCTTTACTGCCACCGACACAGCCACATTCTCAAGCACCACCCACCGCACCGCCCGCCCCAGCCACAGCGCCCGCGCCAGCTAGCGCAGATCGTCTACCATCAGTGCCACGTCAGCGCGACGAGGGCGGGCGCGTCGTTGATGCTGTCGCCGCCACAGCCGCCACCTTGCCCATGAGTGCCACAATTCCATGTCAATTCTTAGATCGTCCTTCCACTCAGCAACACTCTCCCAGTCACTGCGCTAGTACATCTCCCTCCTGTCTCTTCATTCCCCTCCTTTTCCCCCCGCCTGATCCCTCCTCCCTAGGCCCGAAGCTCCACAACCAGCATCCCCCCCCCCACTTTCCCTCACCCACCTCCCTCATCCCCCGTGCCCGTCTGGCCTGCTGCTCCACACGGCTGGCGGCCCCAGCATTGTCGCCTGTGAGCATGGCCACATGCAGCCCCAGCCCCCACACCAGCTGCCCCACTGCCTCCACTGCTTCCGACCGAAGCGACTCCGCCGTGGCAATGGCTGCCTTGGGATGGCCGTCCACCCCGAGCCACACCACCGTGGCCCCGATGCCGAGCCAGTGGGCGAGGGGTAAGGGGGGGATGGCTGGTGGAACACAGCAAGGGGGGGGGGGAGAGGAGTGGAGAAGGGCGGGGGTGCTGAGATATGAAAGGGCGAAGCATTGCGAGCACCACCCACGCAGAGTCACGCCACTATGGCTCCGACGCCACTATGGCTCCGATGCCGAGGCAGCAGGCGAGAAGGGCGGGAGGGATGGGTGATGAAGACATGGGTGGGGAGCAGGGAAAGGGAGGGAGGAGAGGCGTGAGACATAAGGGAGGGGTTGACAGCTGATGCAGCCCGGATAAGGGACCGGGAGGGGGATCGAGTTATGACACAGGCAGAAACGGGGGAGACAAGGTAGTGGCGGCCTGAAGCCCATGGTGCAGCATGCCTGGTGACTTTCAGACAGGAAGGGTCAATAACTGGCCTTCCGAAATCTTCTATGCCCTTATCAAAGCAAGGGTCAGCTACTAGCGAGCTCCAGATAGAGCATCTCACCATGCGCAAATGCACCTCACCATGCGTCAATGCATCTCACCATCGTCAATGCATCTCACCATCGTCAATGCATCTCACCATGCGTCAATGCATCTCACCATCGTCAATGCATCTCACCATGCGTCAATGCATCTCACCATGCGTCAATGCATCTCACCATGCGTCAATGCTTCTCAGCATGCGTCAATGCATCTCACCATGTGTCAATGCATCTCACCATGCGTCCATGCATCTCAGCATGCGTCAATGCATCTCACCCTGTGTCAATGCATCCTACCATGCGTTCATGCATCTCAGCATCGTCAATACATCTCAGCATCGTCAATACATCTCAGCATCGCCAATGCATCTCACTATGCCTCAATGCATCTCACCTAGTCAATGCATCTCATCCTGCGTTAATGCATCTCACCATCGCCAATGCATCTCACTATGCGTCAATGCACTGCGCCATGTGTCAATGCGTCGCACCATGCGTCCATGCATCTCAGCATGCGCCCATGCATCCACCATCTGTTAGTGCATCTCACCATGCGTCCTTGCATCTCACCATAAGTGCATGCATCGCACCATGTGTCAATGCATCCCACCATGTGTCCGTGCATCTCACCATGCGTCAATGCATCTCACCATGCGTCAATGCATCTCACCATGCGTCCATGCATCTTTGTCGCATTCCCTTTCCCCGATGGCCCCACTCACCCTCCTAGCCCGGCTTCTCCAGCACCTTTCCTTTCCTTCTCTGATACGTGATTGTCACTGATTTCTCCCGCTCCATAAGAAAAGCTCCACGGAAGCTTTCTTAACTCAATACCTGCTCTGTCTGGCCTCTCTACATAGTTCCAGCTGTGCTCCTGAATGAATCCATTACTCACAGAGCATACACGCTTTCCTATGATAACGAGAGAACAAACAGAAGTAGCTACACAACTACGCACACGCAGTTTTGTGGCTACCTCCTAGCAGATTCGCTCAGGAGAGCTTACCCCTCCCTCCCATACAATCCGCCACAAACCATTTCGGTTTTTCCTCCGCCGTGATGGCTCCGTGCCGCTTTGCCATCGACACTGCCTCTCGCCTTACTGCATGCCTTCCCCCCTAGCTTCTCTTGACACCGCTGATCTGTACCCTTCCTGAATGCCCCTCTTGCCAACTGTCGTAGCACCTCACTGCTCCCCATCCTCGATCTGAACACCCATCACTGTACATCCCCATTTATTACCATAGCCGTGTACACCCCTTTTCATCTCCAACCCTTTTTGCTGAACCTTCCCGAGTTGTCCAACGAATTTTCATAACACATTCGTTATGTCGATTCGTGCGACAGCTGTCGCATTCCCTTTCCCCGATGGCCCCACTCACCCTCCTAGCCCGGCTTCTTCAGCACCTTTCCTTTCCTTCTCTGATACGTGATTGTCACTGATTTCTCCCACTCCTGCCCCCTCGTGGTGTAGCGTCCCCGCCTACCGGCCGCGACCCCCCCCCGCGCGCCACGTTCGAGACATGGTCCCGCACTCGCCGACCCTTTGAATCTTGCAACTCCAGCACTCCCGAGCCTTTCACCTTCACGACCTCCCAGCGCTCCCGGCTCAGCCCGTACTCCAGCGTGTCCCTGCGCTGTTCCCTTAGGTACACCTCATCCCCTACCTGGAGCGTCTGTGGGTGCCCCCTGCCCTCCTTCGTCCCCTGCTGCCTCTGGTTGTAGCGTCTGGCATCACTTAGCTGTGCTACCTCTAGGTTTTCTAGTGCTGCCGGCAGAACTGATCGCAAGTAACTAGCGCGGGCTGCTGCCACTGCCGCCCATTGTCGAGGGTCATCTGTCGTCATGGGCTGCTCCATGATACGCGGGGCGTCTACTGGCAGTATCGGTTCCTTCCCATATAGCAGGAAGTACGGGGAATAGTTTCTCAGGGCCTGCTGCTTACTGAAGCGATACCCTGCTGCCACCCACGGGAGCTGCAGATCCCAGTCCCTTCTCTCCTCCTCTTCACAGTACTTCCGCAGGCCCTTCTTCAGGGTCTGTACCATCCGTTCCGTTAGGCCATCTGCCTGCGGATGATACCTCGAGGTCCGACGATGGGTGATACCCACTATCTTCAGCATGGCATCGAATTCTCCAGCGAATTCGGTACCTTGGTCTGTCAGCACTTCTCCATATGCCCCGAACCTGGTAAGTACTTGCTGCACGAATGCCTCTGCTACTCCCGCTGCGGTTTTCCGCGCCAACGCGGCCACTTCCAGCCACTTTCTGGTATGCTCGACCATTACTAACACATATTGCTTACCCTGGCGGGAGAGTGGAAGTTCTCCGGCCATGTCGAGAGACCATCGGTACCCTATCTGACCGATTGGCAGCGACTGCAAATTCCTCCAAATGCCTCCCAGCTGCACCTTACTCCTGTTGCACGGCTCGCACTGCTTCACTGCAGCTTTTACCTCTGACCGCATCCCACTCCACCAATACATGGTTTGTAGTTGCTGCATGGTCCGCTGTACTCCGTAGTGCCCCAGCTTTGTATGGATCTTGGTAATTAACTCCCCACGCTCTTCTGGCCTTGGCACGATACGCCAGCTGTCCTCTGTCATTAGCTGCAGCTGGTTGTCCTGCCAGCGGTAGTGTACGCCTCGCGCCCGCACCTTTTCCGAGACTTCCGCCCCGTCCGATCCCACTCCTTTCACCCAGTCAAGTACTGGAGCATCTTCCCAAATTTCTCGGCTGCCCCTGAGCTCTTGGGACTTTCTCTGCCAGCCCTCCTTTTCCACGGCTACCGCCAAGTACGCCAAACTAGTCTCGGCCATCACCTGCCCTTTCTCTGCTTCCCCTTTGTCTTGCCGCGACAGCCCATCCACGTGCTGCAAGGTCTTGCCTGGCCTATGCTTTACCTCGAAGTTGAACTCCTGCAGGCGCATTGCCCAACGTGCATTCCTGCCCTTCAGGGTTTGGTTCCACATCAGCCAGAGCAACGGCTGATGGTCGGTTACTAGGGTGAATCTTCGCCCCTTGACGTATGGTCGAAACAGCTCCACAGCCCACACTGCCGCCAGCCCCTCTCCCTCATATGAGCTGTAGTTACTCTCCGCTGGGCTGCATGACTGGCTGGCGTACGCCACCAACCTCTCTGCCCCCTTTTCCTTCTGGCATAGCACCGCCCCCATGCCGCTACTGCTCCAGTCCGTATACAGCAAAAACAGTTCCTCGGGGTCAGGCAGCTTCAGCATGGGGGCCGTCTTCACAGCCTCCTTTAGTGCCCGCCATGCCTCCTCCTGCTCTCTCCCCCAGCTCCATGTCGTATCTTCTCTCAGCAGCAGGTTGAGTGGCCTTGCCGTCTTACTGAAGTTCGGGATAAACTTTCGGTAATAGTTGAGAAAGCCCAGCTGTGCCCGAAGGGTGCTACAATCCGAGGGTGCCTTCAGGCGATCCACGACTTCCACCCTGCTGGACCGATAGCCCTCCTTTTACCACCTGAAAGCCCAGGTACGCCACGGTCGTCACCCCGAAAGAGCACTTCCCCGGGGGACAGGTAAGTCCGGCCTCTTGCAAGGTTGCCAGCGTCTTGGCTACGTCCTTTACGTGCTGCTCTCCATCTTTGCTATGGAGCACTACGTCGTCTATGTAGCATAGGGTGCAGGGAATGTTCTGCAGTACCTGGTCCATCACTCTCTGAAACTTCGCAGAGGCATTTTTCAGTCCGAATGGCATGAATTTCCATTCGTACAGGCGGTCCGGCCCATGAAAGGCTGTCTTCAGTTTGTCCTCCTCTCTAATGGGTATCTGATTAAAACCCCGCCTCAAATCCAGCGTGGAGTAAACCCTACTCTCCGCCAGCCTATCAAATATTTCTTCGGCCATCGGCATCGGGTACCTGTCGCTCTTGGTGATCTGATTTAACCCCCTGTAGTCTCCACACATCCTTCTGGCCAGCATCTCTCCCGTCAGGTCCTTCCTTGCCGCCACCACTGTCGCCGCTGCGTACTCCGAAGTCGATTCTCGAATCAAACTAGCTTCTAGGAGCTCTCTACATTTGTCCATTGCTATATCTCTATCCCCCGGGCTAAGCCGCCGCCTTCGCTGATACACTGGTGCGTCTCTCTGCAGTTCGATCGCCATTTCTGCCTTAGTGCACCTGCCCAACTCCGGTAGGGAGTAGGCAAAAGCTCCACGGGCCCCTTCCAGCACCTTCAGCATCTGCCGCTTCTGCTCCTCATTCAGTCCGTCACCCATGCTCCAAGCATTTTCTCCTTGCCCTTCTGGCTCCGCTTGTCGTGTGTCTCCCCCTTTGATTCCTATTGACTCTTCATTCCCCTGGGTCTCCTCCGCTTCCTCTAGTTCTTGTCGGGCCATGAGGCTGAGTCCTCTTGCATGTAGCAATCGCTCTCGGCACTCCCTCTCAGCCTGCATCTGTCCTCTCCAGTGCCGCCATTCTTCTGCCGTCTCGAAGGCCTTTTCTGGTTCCTTGTCCAGCACCTCCACTTCATCAGCAGCTGAGCCCTCATCCCTTCTTGTCCTTGTTCTGCCCGGTACAGCAGCCAGACCAGTGCATGCTGGTCTATAGCCCCTCCCAATGCTCTCCTCCGAGCCTCTTCAGATACCCCGTCTGCTGCAGTGGCGTTCCTCAGGTACCCCATGGCTCTTTCCCACTCCACTGCCCACGGCTCCTCCCATGCTCCCGTAGCAATGTCTTGTACCATGCCTGGCCCTGGCCGTCCCTCTTCCAGCCGGAATGCGTTGCTACCTGGTGTGGCCACCAGGGTCGGCCAGGCCTGTCTTGGCGCCCCCACCTCATTGCATGGGAATTGGTTCCTTGATTGGGGTAGTCACCGGAGCTGGCCTTCTCCCCGGCTCTAGGATGTCTTGTACTAGTCTCGGCACGGGTCTCTGCATCCGCCCTAACTGGTCTCTTAGCACCGGCTCTGGAATCATGTTCTACCAGTAGCGGCGAACTCTCCTGGCCTTTGACCCCATCTGCACTGCATCCCAGGCCACTCCATGGCCCAGTTCTTCGGTAACCAGCTTATGTGCCTCCCTGACTAGGGCCCTCTGGTCCTCGGCTACATCCAAGTTTTCCACGATATACGAGAAGGGTCCTTGTCGCCGCTTGATCATCTTCATCACCCTGATCAGTTCACGAAACAGTGCTGTCCGAGGGTCTGCCAGCCCCCGTCCCTTGCCTGCCCTTGACAGCCCCTGACATTCCCACCCCGCTACTAGCAGGTCCACCTGCCCCCAGCTTTCCACCACCTCCTCGGTAATGGCTGTCACATCATGGATTGCCTCGGCTTCCGCCTCTGTCCTTTTGATCACTGACATCGGCAGGCGGTACGGATACTGCTCATGCAGGAGGCGCGCGTGGTGGTAGGCCATCTGCCTGACCTCTACTTGCTTTTCCATGTACACCCATCGCTGATCTGTCACTCCCGTGCGGATGCAGGCCGCCAACCTTGGCCTGATCCCTCCAAACATCTCCACCAACGTCACTGGTCTGTCAAACGTCTCAAAGTCATATGCCGGCTCTGTCAGCCCCTTGGACTCTCTGTAGTTCGCAACGCTGGGGCCTGCCGCTTCCTCCCATCTCCTCCTCTCTGCGAGTTTTCCAAGTACACCCCTGCGTCTTCAAACCGCTGTTCTGGCACCCGTTCACTGGCTGGCTCCTTATACTCGGGGCGCCCTCGTAGAAAGCGGGCGGGCAGGATCGCGGCAGTGTGCTCGTCTCGTTGCACCCCTGAATCCCAGTAGCGTGGCTGATACTGCACCCTTTCCGCCCATGTGTCCACCACCGCCCCAACCTTATACAGGAGATCCATGCCGAGTAGGAGGTCGTAGTCGTCTGAGTCCAAAACCAGGCAATGGACTCGGATACGGGCCTCCTCCTCGGATCCAGGTGCCAAAACGACATCCTGTGGCTTCAGCGACCTCGGGAGCCACTTGCCCACTCCTCCCTCCGCCGTTTGGATGCGCACCCCCTCGGGCGTTACATTCTCTTCTTGGTGCAACCCCAAACGCTCCGCCAAGCGCCTTCCTACCAGGACTTGGGAAGCCCCTGTCTCTATGATAATCGTTCCGGGGTACTTGCTATGAGAGTACGACCTCGTTTCTCCAATTTCCCTTTTTCATATTTCCTCTCTATTTCATTCATCTTTTTATCCTGATTCATTTGGTCTTTATCTCATCTCATTTGGTTTCCTATTCCTCATTTTCCATTATCCTTTGGTTTATCCCGTTATAAAAATTATATCGCCGACCAGGCTCGTGATGTACTGGCGCGCTATATCTAGCTTCATCTTGCCGTAATCCCTTAAAGCCAAAAACATCGCGTGGTTATACGCAAGGTGATTCTATTTCAAGAAGGGTCTATTCCATTTGGATAGGATAAACGTGGTTACCTGATGTACTCTGGAAGTATAAAAACACCTTGGAGTGATTGATAGTGAACATTGAGCAAACCTCATTCGATCATGTGACACTGGGGTCAGGACCAAGCCAAGGTTTCAGCTCAACGCTTAACCGCTGGGCCCCCAGGAGCACGCCGAGGAAGGAGTCGAAACTTCTTTTCCTGTAAGTACAATGCACTTTCATTTTAAGTTTCGACGCCTCGCCGACCGTTCGATGGACTGCATCGACGGTGTATATGTTTTCGACCTCGCGAACGTGTCACTCCTTTCGACATTCCGAGAAGGTCGCAGTTTGCCACGACACTAGGAGTTGCGCGGAAATCTGCCGTGCTGCGACCAACGACATCCGTCCGATGGAGATTCGACGCTTCCGATCGACCGAGGCGAAAACGAAACCTTCTGAGGCAGTTCGAGTTTCAGCGCGAATGGGAACGGGACCTCGCAAGTCGCGAAATTCTTCGGAGCGTCCGATCGTTCGACAGCCTACATCGACGATCGAGAATTGCTGCAGGAAAGGAGTAAACCCAGGCACCGAAAGCTGCTGAACACCACTCAGGGTTGTTTTCAGATCACTTGGAGTTTGGACCGTCGGATCTGCTTCCACTTCAACGGACGAGATGGAGCGCGAGTTCCGTATGAAGGAAGAATGACGCGGAGAACCAGAAATTAGCCGCCTTCGACACCATTCACAGTATCTTGAAAACCAAATTCGGACTCCATTTGGTCACGAATTTGGCGCGCAAATCATCTTCAGAGTCAGAAATCTGCCGTAGAATTACCTACTTGGTAATAGCTGCAAGCAGAAAACTGAGTAGAACGTGGATCGTCGGATTGTTGCGGAATCAACGGCACGAATGCAGCGGATATTACCTTATGGGAAAACATCATCATGGAGACAATATTCGCGACCAGCGACTGCACAAGCGACGCATCTTCTAACTAGTGTTGATAAACGATACGACTTATTTTGACGCAGTCATCCTCGTTAAAAATGGATCGACGTCAACACAGCGGATCTTCACCCTGGAAATAACAATGGAGCTGCGTGAAGACATGTTCTCCATCCATGAGACACTTCATCTCATAAATTTGATCGGCAACCTATGGGATTGCAGAGAAGTATCTGTTTTCTTTTGCAATGCTCACAAGTTCAAGTTGCTGCGAAGGAGCAGATTTCGCACGCAACGCCGACGCAGTGAACCCCTGTTGTCAAGGCCAGCGAGACACTACTTTGTAACAGGAGCTGATCGATTCGTCTTCATCAAGAATCTCAGCCATCCGAAGTGATTGATTTTAGCAGTATCAACATCCACCTCACGAGGCGACACACCAATGATGCCTCGCGATTCCAGGTGTTAATGGCCTGCGTGGAAAATTTTCCGTGCGTGTCACGATGCTTGACAGATTGAGGAGAAATTAACCTCAAATCCGGCAAAGGGTCGTTCACTAGCGACCCTACGGCACATGCATCGGAGGCGATTCTACAGGAAGCCGAAGCGTTACAAGCATCAGCATAACTTCGACGATACAGGAGAATGCCAAGCAATACGAGGTGTCAACAAATGAGGGAGATGCGAACTACTACAACACGATCACGCGCTCTACCGTCCGTACATCGGAGGCACGGATGAGCATACCAGGAATTGCTACCTGTGGATACATTGAGGGGATAAGCAAATTTCTCTTCATACCCTCAAATGAAACATCACTTGCAGCAATAGAGCAACACATGTGTACTAATGTGCACGTATTCCTGGTAGTTACGCCTGTTACACCCATCAGGAACACTCTCTTGGGAAGAGGGAGTTGATGGATTCTCCTTCAACCTGTACGAGTTGAGAGAATTCTCAGCAGCAGCTGCCGCCGTCGCCGTCGTCGCAACCGCCGCCGCCGCTGCAGCAGAAGACTCGACACAACAGTCATATCAAGACCTTGATGGATGATTCTCCCCTCAATGGAGATAATGCTGGATTATATTCCAGTATGATCGTAAAGATCCGGCCAGGCACAATACTATGATTTCCAGCTAGTGGGAAGGAGATACCACTATGCACTGGAATAGCTATGTCTTTGCCATATACCCTCAAGAGCAGGAGATATTTGCTCTCATGAGGATGGGAGGACTACGGTACTCTACCCGTATACAAGTCCTCATGGCCTATGGCTTTCCTTAAAGTCATAAAACATGCGTCACAACCAATCCATCACCAGCACCAACTCCACGAAAGCCGATAGGCGTGAAATGGAGCACCGACGCCACTCCGGATAGTGGAATCCACCCATCTCCAACAACACCCATGTGTGCGTAAATGGAGCAGACTTCAACACTGATGCTCAGTAGCTGAGACATCTTTGACATCAACGCTACTTCAAGGACAGTAACAGAATGAGACAACACATGATGGCACCAGAAGACCTATCCCAATATGTGCGCCCAGACACCAATGCCTACCGATAGCCTCCGTGCTAAACTGGAAGTGCATAAGATCATACTGGATTGGCTGTCAGCAATGCTAATTTGGAAATGGGAGAGGATTACTTTGAAATACCCCTAACGTTCCCAGATGTCCTAACCCATCACCGTGGGATATCTACGCAGCTGAGATTCCTTGCTTGAGCAACCACCGAGGGAAACTACTTTGGCGCCAATTCTTGAAGTTACCAGTTCCGCGTTTGTGTTACCAACCCCTCGCATGGTTCTGAACACAAGGGATACACTGAACAGCACTTCGCATGCGTGAGGATGTCATCTAGGTACACCACCACGCATTCATCCAAGACTGGGCGTAGAATGTGGTTCATTTTGGCTTGGAATGTTGCTGGTGCGTTGGTGAGTTCGAACAGCATTACCAGATACTCGTACGATGCGTACCGAGTTCGGAAGGTAGTTTTGTGGATGGAATTTTCCGCCATTCGTATCTGCAAGTTCCCGGACCGCATATCTAGTTTGGAAAATACCGTAGCTCCCCGAAGCTGATCAAGCCGGTCATCGATTCGTGGGATTGGGTATCTGTTCTTGATGGTCTGCTTGTTGAGAGCTCGGTAATCGATGCACATTCGCAGGCTTCTGTCTGGCTTCGGTGTGAATTGTACTGGGGCACCATATGGCGAAGTGGATGGTCGGATGAGTCCTTTTGCGAGGAGATACTCGATATGTTTCTTCATGTCGGCTAGCTCCATGGGGCTGAGCCAATATGGTGCTCGGAAGGTCGGCTTCGAACCTGGTTCTTCCACGACCTCGTGTTGGTGCGTTTGGTATGGCGGCAGCTCGTTTGGAAGGTCGTCGGGAAGAGTGTCTTGGAACTCCTTCAGTATTTCCTTCATTTTTTCTGGAGGTTCCAAGGATTTCTCCCTCATCGTTTTCCACCTCTGTCGCTATCGCCAAGAACTCGGTGTCGGTTCGCTCTACGTCCTTCTCGAATCGTGCGAGTGTCTCTACTGGGTTAATTCCTGTATCATCCCAATTGGGTAGCTGGACTCTCCTTTCATTGTTGTAGATGCTTGCAGTACGATTTACCCAGTTGATCTCGGGGTTGAATAATTTTAGGAAGTCTCGCCTGAAGATCAAGTCAAGCCCTTTTATGTTGGTGATGGGGAGTGTAGGTTTCCAGCGTACTGGTCCGATTACTGGCCCTTTTATAACACTGCTTTCTTGTATACTGGTAACTTACAGCCATTGACCATCGTTGCAGAGAATGCTGAAGGCATGTACTCTTCCCGAAGTCGGTCGATTACTGCCTTGTCGCATACGGTGTGCGATGCTCAGCTGTCCACGAGTGCTTGGAGGCCTTGTCCTTTGCAGATGGCCGATTCCATTTTTTGCCAAGCTCCATTTTTTTACTTCTGATTGGCCAAAGAATTTCTGCCACTGTTGCGTGCCCGATACTCTGCTTGTGTGGCTTTCGTTTTGTTGCAGTCGAAGATTCGATGGCCCGGCACTCCGCAAAAATCACGAGTGTAGTTGGTGTTTTTCAGACGTGACCGCACGTCGAGCCTGTCGATTTCCATCGGGTCGGCGAACGTGGGGTGAGCCGAGCGATCGCCCTGTCGTGTACTGCCGACGTGCGCCCGTCGTGTTACGGTGTTGACCATGTCAAACCGCTCTACTGCCGATACGACGTCACAGTAGCTCGCATAATTTGTCATTGCAACCTGTCGTTTGACATCGGTCTTCAGCCCGGCGAGATACGATTGTACCTTTTCCCCTTCAGTCAGGTCGGGAATGCGGTTATAAAACTCCTCCATGTGTTGCGTGTATTGCTCTACACTCCTTAACTGTCGATGGCGATGAATTTTTTCCCGGGCAAGGAAACCCAAATTTATCGGCTCGAAGCGTTTCAGCAGGTCGGTGCGGAACTGCTGCCATGTGGCTTCGCCGTGGATGAAAGTACTATTGCTGCCAATCCACACGAGTGTCGGCCCTCACATCAGTGTCGCCGCGAGTCGTACGCGTTGACCGTCCCAGATTGGCGAGCTCCATCCGACGTCTGCAAAGAAGATCTCCATGCCGGCGATCCATCTGCGGGCGTCGGAATTCCGGTTGCTCAGATCGAACGGCTCAAGTGGGCGCGGTTTCGGAGCCTCAAGAAACTGCTGCGACTGCTGCGTCGCCGCCATTGTCGTTTTGTGTTGTGCGCCGGCAAGTCGAGTTACTCGCTCGAAATCGTTTCGCCAAGCTTCACGATCGGCTCGCATCTCCTCCTGAAGGGCGATGCTCTCGAAGAGTTGGTGGGTAACCTTGGCGTTGTCGAAGTTCGCCATCCCGTTCAAAACACGCGCGGAGGGGTTAATTAAAAAAGCGCAGAGCTGGGGCTTACAAGAATCGGCGCCGAACTAGTCGCCCCCGGCGGTTTTGCGAGGCAGGTTTTCCCGCTCTTTCTGCTTATTGTAGCTGAGCGCGACTAAGTGAGAAAAGCTTTGATTACCAAGTGTCACAGGATTGAATGTGTCTAGGAAAAAGTTGCACTATCGATTAATACAAGGCGCTTTTTTACTTCCGAGGTACATCAGGTAACCAGGTTTATCCTATCCAAAGGGAATAGACCCTTCTAGAAATAGAATCACCCAGCGAGGCTATTGGCTTTAAGGGATTTCGGCAGGATTACGCTATGGTGCGCTAGTACATCCCGAGCCTGGTCGGTGATATAATTATAATTATTGGATAACCCAAAGGATAATGAGAAAAGGAGGAGTAGGAAACCAATTGGGATGAGATATCAAATGAATTAGGATAAAAAAGAAGAATGAGATACCGTAGAAGTGTAACAGGGTCGGACTCGCCACAACAGCTCACCATCGTCAATGCATCTCACCATTATCAATGCATCTCACAAGCATCCGTGCATCTCACCATGAGTGCATGCATCTCCCCATGCGTCAAGGCATCTCAGTATGCATCAATGCATCTCACCATCGTCAATGCATCTAACCATGCGTCAATCCATCTCACCATCGTCAATGCATCTCACCATCGTCAATGCCTCTCACCATCGTCAATGCATCTCACCATCGTCAATGCATCTCACCATCGTCAATGCATCTCACCTCACGTCAATGCATCTCACTATGCGTCCGTGCATCTCACCATGTGTCAATGCATCTCACCATGCGTCCGTGCATCTCACCATGCGTGCATGCATCTCACCATGCATGGATGCATCTCACCACGCGTCAATGCATCTCTCCATGGGTCAATGCATCTCACGATGTGTCAATGCATCTCACCATCCATGCATGCATCTCACCATGTGTCAATGCATCCCACCATGTGTCGGTGCATCTCACCATGCGTCCATGCATCTCACCATGCGTGCATGCATCTCACCACATACATTTTGTAGAAAAGTAGACTCAATGTGGATAGCTGTAAGATGCACAAGTTGGAGATGGTAAAGATAGGTTCCAAGTGGAGCCCTAGAAAGTGTAAGACAAACTAGTGAATAGAGATGACAAAGACATTGGGCTAAGTAGGCCTAGATTGTGAAGAAAAGAGAGATGGATGCTGGGCGACTTGGGCTGGTCCAGGTGAGGAGAATGGCACCCACGAGTCTTAGGGTGCCCAAATGGGTGCTCAAGTTGCCCACAGACGCGAGGAACCCTCAAAGTGGGCCTGGAAGCGCCCCCACGAGTGGAACCACGATTCCACAAGTTGGATGCGTGGTTCCACAAGCTGGAGCCGCGTTTTCATGGTTGAGAAACGTGCGTCGAGGTTGGAGCGCGTCCCAAATGTTGGGATGCGTGGTGAGATACCTCAATTCGGATTTTGGGGTGCATAGCCTTTAAAATCACTGTCTACACGTAATATAATATAACACATTACACATAACAGAGTAATGTACTAAGTTACCGTAATCCCCCGGATATAGGCGCATATGTGCTGATATGGATTAGGTTCAAAAAGCAGCATGTGCTTGTAATCGAATAAAAAATATAAGCCCATGCGCTAATATAAAGGGCTATATGAAAAAATGACTTCAACACACCAAAATGTAGCTAGGTTGATTTGGGTTCCAATACAACTGTCTTCAAAAGGGGATGCAAAGAAATATCGTGCGGAATATCTAGCGAAAGTTTCGCCAGCACAACTATGCTGGGAAGGCAGGGTATGGACCAATCGTAGGCAAGATAGTGATCGGGAAACGCAGGAATCTGGCTGGCAAGGTGCTTGGGAGGGGTGCGAGAGTGGTGCGGGAGATTTGGCACAGAGTTTTCGATATGGAAGTTTCGCAATTCACCTGCTTTTTAATAGTAATTCAATGCGCTTATAGGGAATATATTTTATTTTAAAAAGGGTGTGCTTATAATGAAATAACGGATATAAGAGCGTTTGCACTCTATAAGCCCACTAAGCTTAATAAATGGCCGCGCCTATACCCGGGTGATTACGGTAACTACATCCCGGATAAAAACCCAAAAATATACTCAACAATACCCCCCCTTAGAGTGACACCAAGGGAGAGTCTCGGGAAGAAGGGGCAGGGTGCAGGCCAATGCAGGACCGGAGACGCTGAAAAGTGTCACGGGAAAGGTACCGAGATCAGCAAGGTTGTCATGAGTAGGGACATAGTGCAATGAGATATGGCCCTTGTCAATGTGATCACGGAGGAAATGATGTCGGATGTCAATATGCTTGGCATGGGCATGGAAGACACCAGCGTCCTTGGCCAAGACAATGGTGCTTGTGTTGTCACAGATCAAAGGGTTGGGACCAGCGGGGGGAAGTCCAAGTCAGGTGAGGAGAGTGCGGAGCCAAAGTGCTTCATGGGTTGCCGCACCAAGCGCATAGTATTCAGGCTCACAGGAGGACGTGGCCACCACACATTGCCTCTTGGATTGCCAGGAGATGAGGGAAGGACTAAGAAAAAAGAGATATGCAGTGAGGGAACGGCGATCCTCACTTTCGCAGGCCCATGAAGCATCACAGTAGCCGATGAGGTGGAGGGAGGAGGGATTACCACCAAGCATTAACCATGGGAAGATGTTTCCTTGAGGTAGCGTAGAACACGTTTGGCAGCCAGCCAATGAGGGTCGAACAGCCTCTGGCACGAACAAGCTCACTGCCCACACCGTGCCCTGTGTTCTCCTAGGTTTCCCCCTCAACTCGTCTGACTAGCACTTCTACCAACCGCCGTCTCACCGTTTCTTCCACTCTCGCGACGTCACTTTTGACGAGTCCGTCTCCTTCTACCACTGCTTTCCCCACCGTGGTCCCCCGGTCACCCCCCCCCCAGTTCCTGGTTCCCACCCCTCCCCAGGTCGGCCCTGCTCCTCCCGCTCCCCGCCCTGCGCCGTCTGGTGTGCCTCACGTCACCAACCTCTTGTCGTTTTTCCCTGCCGAGGGGTCTGCTGACTCTCGCGGCCCGGCGGAGTCACTTCTCCCACCTGTCCCCGCCTCGGCCTCTCCTCCCCTGTTGCCGACGTTGCTGTCACAGCCGCAGCCAGCTCCGCAGCTGCCATCGCCGCCGCAGCCGCAGCCGGCTCCGCAGCTGCCGTCGCAGCCGCAGCCGCAGCCACCGTCGTCACCGCCGCTGGGGTTTGTGCGTTTTGGGGTGCTGGGGAGTGTGCCGGAGTGGGTACTGGAGCGGGTTCCCGTTCTGGGGGCGCTGGTGTGGGGCTTCTCTGAGGGAGCCGTGGCCCTGCTGGAGGTTCTGGTGTTGGCGTTGGGCAGCAGCCGTCGCCGTCGCCGCCGGTGTCCGCTCTTTGCCTCCTCGGCCTTCCTTCTCCTGACCGCACGCCGGTGTCTCCTTGGTCGCCACCACCTCCTCCTTTGCAGGTCTACAGCCCTGTGTTTCCTCCTGTGGACTCTTCTCCGGCTTGTTTCCCTCCTCGTTC